CCTTCTTGAGGGGCCTGCTGTACCACCGGTCCTTCTGGATGTCAGGAATGGTGATCCTCGCTGCCGGGCTCTCCGTGAGGATCTTGTGCAGCAGGGCTGGGAAATGAGGGGGTGGAATCCAATATGGTGTGTGTAAATGTGTATATTTGTGTGTATATATATGTGCGTATATATGTATATATTTGTGTGTATATATGTAATATTTGTGTATGTATGTGTATATTTGTGTGTATATATATATGTGCATATATATGTATATATTTGTGTGTATATATGTGAATATTTGTGTGTATATGTGTGTATATATGTGTTTATATATGTATATATTTGTGTGTATGTGTGCATATTTGTGTATATATGTGTATATTTGTATATATGTGTATATTTGTATGTATATATGTAATACTTGTGTGTATAGATGTGTATATTTGTGTGTATATATGTATATATTTGTGTGTATATGCATATATTTGTGTGTATATGTATATATTTGTGTGTATATGTATATATTTGTGTGTATATATGTGTATATTTGTGTGTATATATATAATATTTGTGTGTATAGATGTAATATTTGTGTGTATAGATGTAATATTTGTGTGTATATATGTGTATATTTGTATATATGTATATATTTGTGTATATATATATAATATTTGTGTATATATGTGTATATTTGTGTATATATGTATATATATTTGTGAGTATATTTGTGTATATATGTGTATGTTTGTGTATATATGTGTATATATGTGTATATTTCTGTGTATATATGTGTATATTTCTGTGTATATATGTGCATATTTAGGGAGTTGCTGGGTGCTTACCCAAGGGAGCTGAATCAATCTTCTTCCAAGGTGGGAGGTAGGTTTTTTTCTCCTTCCAGTCGCTGTACTCCTGGCAGCTGTCGCTGGGCTGGTCCCAGGGCAGCTCTGCCGGGAGATCCCGCTGCTGTCACCCCTGGTGCCACAACCCCCCAGGCACGCATGTGGCACTGTGGGGACGTGGTGACCCTGCCCTGCCATGGATCCTGTGTGCTCCCTGTGCATCCCAAACCTCCCTGAGCATCCCAAACCTCTCTGTGCATCCCAAACCTCTCTGTGCATCCCAAACCTCTCTGTGCATCCCAAACCTCTCCGTGCATCCCAAACCTCTCTGTGCATCCCAAACCTCTCTGTGCATCCCAAACCTCTCTGTGCATCCCAAACCTCTCTGTGCATCCCAAACCTCCCCGTGCATCCCAAACCTCCCTGTGCATCCCAAACCTCCTCGTGCATCCCATCGTTTCTCACACACATTCCATACCTCTCTGCATCCCAAACTCCTCCTGTGTCCCATACCTCCCCTGTGCCTCTCACACAGCCCCCTTACACATCACAAACATTCCCCTCCTGCAGCCCTCTATTCCTTCCATACACCCCTACAGATATTCCAAACATCCCCCTCCATGTATTCCACATCTCCCTTATGGATGGACACCTTCCATCTCTGTGTTTCACACGTCCCTCTCGCTGTGCACTCCATGCATCCCTCCCATCTCATGTGTGCTCCTTCCTCATCCCATACATCCCCCCATGCACTCCACACACCTCCCCTCGCACATTTCACCTGTGCACCCCTTCTGCATTCCATACATTCACCCCTGGACATTCCACAAACACTCCCCCATGTCCTCTGCACCACTCCTGCATTTCCCCCACACCCCTGAGCATGTCACATGAATTCCATCCATTCCTAGAGGCATTCCCACCTCTGCTGGCTGGATGTCACCCCCTGGGAATTCCACCCATCCCAACATTCCCACCTCCATCCACCATGGCCATGGGCACATCACATCACCCTCTGGGAATTCCACCCATCCCTGGCCAGCATGGCCATCAGCACATCACCCCCTGGGAATTCCATCCATCCCAACATTCCCACCTCTGCCCAGCATGGCCATGGGCACATCACATCACCCTCAGTGAATTCCACTCATCCCAACATTCCCACCTCCAGCCAGCATGGCCATGGGCACATCACATCACCCTCTGTGAATTCCATCCATCCCAACATTCCCACCTCTGCCCAGCATGGCCATGGGCACATCACCCCCTGGGAATTCCACCCATCCCAACATTCCCACCTCCATCCACCATGGCCATGGGCACATCACATCACCCTCCGGAAATTCCACCCATCCCTGGCCAGCATGGCTGTTAGCACATCACCCCCTGGGAATTCCATCCATCCCAACATTCCCACCTCCATCCACCATGACCATGGGCACACCACATCACCCTCAGTGAATTCCACTCATTCCAACATTCCCACCTCTGCCCACCATGGCCATGGGCACATCACATCACCCTCTGGGAATTCCATCCATCCCAACATTCCCACCTCCATCCACCATGGCCATGGGCACATCACATCACCCCCTGGGAATTCCATCCATCCCAACATTCCCACCTCCATCCACCATGGCCATGGGCACATCACATCACCCTCCGGAAATTCCACCTATCCCTGGCCAGCATGGCCATCAGCACATCACCCCCTGGGAATTCCATCCATCCCAACATTCCCACCTCCAGCCAGCATGGCTGTCAGCACATCACCCCCTGGGAATTCCATCCATCCCAACATTCCCACCTCCATCCACCATGACCATGGGCACACCACATCACCCTCTGGGAATTCCACCCATCCCAACATTCCCACCTCCATCCACCATGGCCATGGGCACATCACATCACCCTCTGGGAATTCCACCCA